ATTCCTTACAATTTTCTTAATATGGTTTTCAAATGATAACTAATCATTTATCACAAAACCTAGGTCTCTATTTTCACTAACACTTTTGAGGGGAACCCCATTAATGGTGTAAGTATAAGTGTAAGTATAAGATGTGGAGCTCCTACCCCGGGTCAACCGCGAAACAACAGTTCTTTCGGGAGCCAGGGGAAGCTCTCAAGTACAAGACCAGTTGAAAACATAGTCAATCGCTTTTTGTAGAGCCACACTACTACTTTCAGTGCTACATGTAGTTGTGTAAATCTCAATGTCGTCAGCATACATAGAGCAGGTAACACCAAGGGGAGAAATGCCAGACGGGAGATCATATGTATAAATAACGAACAGTACGGGGGAAAGAACACCCCCTGAGGAACACCGCTAGGAGCATGAGGGACTGAAGAAAATGACTGCCTAATCTTCACTTGATATGTACGATTTTCATGATAACATCTAATCCAGGAGAGAAGCCTTGAGTGAATGATAACAGTAGACATTTTTTTGCATAAGCTTATTGTGGCGTATCCTATCGAATGCTTCAGCGAAATCAAAGTACACAACATGGGTTGACTTATGGCTATCCATAGCCATAGATCAGTCATTAACAGAAGGAAGCAGAGCTGTTTCGACAGATCTACCTTGCCAAAAGCCATGTTGACACCTGGGTATCACATTGTGCCTGGTCAAAGTTGATTAATATAAGTCTTCGGAATTCTCAGCAATTTTAAGCGAGTCTTCTCGTAAAACCAGAAACTGGCTCCATGACCGGATAAAGAGGTTGCCCCATCCTCGATGGCATCAGTGGCGGTAGTTGCGAATGATTTCTGAAATTGTCGTGCTAGAACCTCCGCTTTCCCTTCATCGCTGAAGACTATTTCCCCCTCCGCATCATTTGATAACGAGGGCAGGAATGGTCTTCTTCTTGAATCCTAGATCTTATATAACTATACAGCTTAGAGGGATTCCTGGAATCTATGATCTTCTTCTCCAAACTCTCTGAAAATCTATGGAGCTTTTTATCCAATTTACTGTTATAGTTTTTAAACTTGTTCCACTCATCATCTGACCCAATGGAGACAGCCTTCTTCCACAGGGTTTCACGATGTTTGATCATTCTTTTCAAATGGGGAGGAACGTGAGAATAGGTCGACTCTACTTTAACTAATGGAACAAACTTGAAGATAGCATGATGAAGTATTGCTAAGAACATTTCGTACATATCATTGACTGAAGAAACATTACTGAAGGAACCCAGCCAATCAATGCCACTTAAATAACCCATAATGTCGTCGTAGTTTGCAGCACCGAAATCCGGTTTCCAGCCTAAACGGGGCTTCAAAGCTTGGAGATTCAGAGAGAATTCAACAGCCGAGTGATCACTACCTCCTACAGGTGGAACTACATTGATATAGCGAACAAAACCGAGAAGGTTTGAAAAGAGCAGAATTACCAAGGCTGAAGGCGGATCGCGCACTGGGGCGTTAAACAGCAGTTATTAAACAATAACAGCTTGAAACTTGTAAAAAGCCTTCAGCCTTGCGGTTCACTGCCGATATCGGCTAACCGGCTCATCATGTTGAAGAACGCAACTGCCCGATAAGCAGAAGATGCGGGTTTGAATCCCGTCCGTGGTCCGACTTTTGCCCACAACTCAGCATTCTTGTGATAACTTTCGGCACTGCGGCGTTAAACAGCAGTTATCAAACAACAACAGTTCAAAACTCACACGTTTCTCGTGATGAAACGGTTAGCCGATATCGGGTCTAGATCACGAGGCTGAAATCTTTACATGCTTTTGAAGTTGTTTTGGTATCACAACTGCTGTATAGGGCCGCAGTTTGCGCCCCGAAAGTTATCTTAGGCAGCGTTCATACTTCGCGACAGCAGCGGCGATCGCGGCGATCGGCGACCTCGGCGATCGCCGCGATCGTCGGTACGTGGCAGAGCGCGCCCCAACGCTATTATGGACCGCTCGCTTGATAAATAAGGGAATCCAACTTGTGAGACCTTCTTTTCTCTTAATAATGGCTACTGATAACTTACGACTTTCTATACATAAGCGGATCTGGAATATGAGGTAAGGAGTTTTCACTTCTTTTTAGGTTGGGATGAGGCCAGCTCCATTCCTTCTTTTTGTTTCTTTTGTTTTTATTGTTTCGATTTATACAAGCGCCTTGAAAGTTCCTATCGTCTGAACTGTTCCAACTTCCAAAACATTTATAGTTTACAAGTCGAGTTCAAACAACGAAGAAAAAAAAGAAACAGAAAGAAACTCACCTAGGAACCAAAACACTAATCATTTTACGCAACATCAACAGGTGAAAACTTTATAACCTCATGTATAAGCTCGACGAATGAAAAAAGAAACAATAAAAAACCTACCCTAAATGAAGCTCTCACGCTTTTTGCTCATTTCTATCCTGAATCAAGAAAGAAAATAGAAAACAAAAGCCATTAAGTTGGGTTCACCTTTCTTTGTGTCAAACCAAGCTTCAGTACCTAAGAAAATTGCAGTTAAAGGAAAAAAGCATGAAATTGAGTCGCTTCTCCCTAAAAGCCTTCGGAGCGTCCAAGTAATAGCGTTGGGGCGCGCTCTGCCATGTACCGACGATCGCGGCGATCGCCGAGGTCGCCGCGATCGCCGCTGCTGTCGCGAAGTATGAACGCTGCCTTAACAATGCTAACTACGAGGTTGAGTCGCAGTTCAGCTGTTAGCGACAGCCATCGCAAGGGTCCGAAATACCAATTATTTACAATTATTTTAGTTGACTATAGGGGCCCGAAAATCCACACTGAATAGTTTGTTCCTGAGCTCTCCGCTACGCAGTAATGCGACATCCAAATGGGCTTATATGCAAAACTCAGCAGATGACTTGCTGGGGGAGAAGCCTCAAGCCAGTCTTATTGCCAAGAGTGGCAGAATCTCCGCGTCAATAGGCTTTTCAATTTTATTCGCAATAATTTTGGTAGAACATTGGGTCTAACAGTAGCATTCAGATGCACTTTCAAAACCGGACTCGTTACGTCATGCTGGCTCTGTCGTTGCTTTGTCTCACGTTGATATACTCGAATAGCATCGCTCTCAACTTTACGGTAATCTGTATGGACGACGTCAAGTCGGCATACTACCAGGAGACGGTCAACACCAGCGACGGTAAGCTCTCTAGAAGTAGTCATAATCAACATGATTCGAACTCGCTACCTAGCGACTTCTTTATAGAAATATCAACAGACATTACGGGAGTGCCTTGACCAGTCACCACCGGAGGTCGCTGGTCGCTCGAATATTATCACCGCTAGCCATTTAATCCTCCTATCAGTTGGGAGGTTCATTCAGAAGGGCACCAAGCAGGAATGAGTTAGGCAGCGTTCAGACCTTGCGATGACTCGCGTCGACGCGCTGTGATGGGCGACGACGCCGCTAAAACCACAGCGGTCCAAGTCTATAGATGCGAACGCAGCCACAGACAGGTGAACGCCGGTCGATTCTCGTCTACGAGCACTCGGCCGATGGGCGCCGGCCGCTTCTGTTTCGAGAAATTATGAGAGAATGGGATGGTGCGTCACAGCATACTATAGCGCGCCGTCGCAAACTCTGAATACTGCCCCATGTACAAAAATGAGTGGAGCTGGATGCCCATTGCATATTGATAGCGGTAGTAATGACGGTAGCGGTCCGCAGACGCAGGTTATGCGTTGCGATTGGGCAGCAGAATTACTATCTTCTCCCTTCCTTGTTGAGAGCTTTCCTTCCGTGGCTATTGCCAACATTTCGGACGATCTAGTGCGCAATGATGTCGGTCCATTGAATGGTCCTATTCGGGCGTCTGTGTTCAAATCATCAGAGAAGTTTCAAGTGGAAAAGGCCATATGTAGTAGGTTCAATACCTCGCGGCGACTACTCCTTCATACCAGAAGTGATCGGCTAGTTGTCAATTCAGGAGGATAACAAATAGAAAAGTAGAAAACGGCATGGCTGGACTCAATCACTCTCTCTCTTGCCCATAACAGTCAATGCTTGCGACGATATGTATCGTATCCAACTAGTATACACTGCGAAGCATAGTAATCATAGTTCTCACAAAATCTCGTCTTACACGACGTTTTCAAAAATGCCCCCATACAGAAAATGTGGTAATTACCAATACCAATTCGCATGCCAACACCAAACTCTAGCTTGAAAAACAATTTTTTTCGTCAATTTTTTCAAAAATGGTCGTTCTGACAACGCAGCAAAAGTATAGTTCCACCGAACAAATCGAATATTCCAACAACAAGTGTACAATAAAATGAATAAATTTTGATCCAGTAATCTATTGGAACTCTATTTCTCCAATTAAGTTGGAAAATACGGTTGCCCATGTTCGATTAGAGATTTTAATAGGCTTTCGGCCGACTGCCCCAATGATTACTCCCTAAGCTCACGGACATTGTGGAATTGTGCATTACTCTCATGGATCATACGCACCATGAAGCCCCTCACATCCTCGATTGGGTTTTAGTCGGGGCTACTCGCTGGCCAGGGCAAAAGAGCGGTTTGGTGACAACTGAATCACGCTCCAGTGTTTCGCGTGACTTTTAGATGACGGAAGAAATCATTTCTTTTTTCATACGGAGCGCAGTTTCAGACGTTCCATTCATGCGATGGCAGCCCAGACCATGAGACCACATCCACTGAAGTTCCGCCCGGAAAAATGAAACTTGTCTTCCCTCAGGTCGTGCCAGCGGAATCGGTTTTCGTCGGAGCCGTCGCAGTTGAATTTTTTCTCATCAGAAAACACGACCGCGAGAAAAAAAAACTGAAAAAACAACACAGACAAGCAGTAGGGCACCGCAGCCAAAAGCTAACCTCACTCCATTGGGCAACATCTTCGAGCAAAGCCAATTAGGTTTTCGCGATGGTTTTTCGTTAGAAACAGTACGTAACTCATATTCCCCTATGGGTGAACTCGGGAGTTTTTCAAGAGACGCCTAACAGTATCCTCCGAGACATTAACCTGCGAAGATGACTTGATTTCCCGACACGACACTGCAGAGTTGGATGCTTTCCTAAGGATACGGCGGTTATTCCGATCGGGCAGCAAAGGAGGATGTCCAGAGCTCTTCTCAGCTCAATATCCTAGGTCCCTTGGGAAAAATTGTTGATAGCATGATGAGTGCGGCCCGAATCCCGCGCGATTCGACGGTTCGACAGTTTTCGAGTCTTCTTTGCGATAATCTGTCCTTTTTCGAGGTCCATTAATGAAGTTCCACTTGCCATAGCCTAGAAGAGGCAAGAAGTCATAATGAGCCGAACAAATAATGAGATGCAGCCGGAAAATATGCGGTGGAACTATACTTTTGCTGCGTTGTCAGAACGACCATTTTTGAAAAAATTGACGAAAAAAATTGTTTTTTCAAGCTAGAGTTTGGTGTTGGCATGCGAATTGGTATTGGTAATTACCACATTTTCTGTATGGGGGCATTTTTGAAAACGTCGTGTAAGACGGGATTTTGTGAGATTCATGGGTGGAACTATGATTATGCTTCGCAGTGTATGTATATAACCGTTAAGTTTGTCTGTTGGTGCGATTGTGCGTATGGTTTATATGTGTGTTTGACCGGAGATTCATACTTCCTTCAAATCAGCCAGCAGAGAGTTCAAATTAATAAGTGACATAGGGGGTGCGACGGAAATGTTATTGGTGAGTGACCGAAATTGATAGCGACTGATAAGAGCTGTTAAAGACATTATAGCAGATTCAGCCAATTCATAACTCGCGTCCCAGCAACGGTGGAACGTTGGTTCTAAGAAGAGATATCCGGATGTTAACACCAGTGGTGAGTGGTGGGAGGTGATAAAAACTGTTAAGATACCGTAGGAGGCATAAAACGGGAGGTTCACCAACTACATAACGCGGGCCACAGCAACGAAGGTACGTCGGTTCCAAGAAGAGATGTAGGGAGCTAGACCTGAGAATCATCGGTGTGTGGGCAGAAAGTGATAACAACTGATAAAATACCATAGCATGCTTTTTAGAGGTGGCCCCGAATTTCATAGCACAAGTTGAAGCAACAGTGAGGATCTACTTCCAAGAAGTAAATCAGGGATGGCCAGGGAATATTGGTTGCGGGAGAAAGGTTGTGATGTAATGTGCGATGATCTTCAAGATTCAGTCTTTGTTCGCATTTGTTCCCTCCTCGCGACTCAACTGTGACCAGTGAAGTCCAAGAAACAATGAGCAAAGTCATAGTGGATCAACAGTTTTGTATCCTTTGGCGATGTAGTCGAACGATTCGACCGCTAAACTCTTGAGCTTTGACAAAAAGAGAACGCTGAAAGTTGTTTGCCAATGAGGAATGATAAGAGCCACAGACAGGTAGCTGCTTCACTATTTTTACGAAAATTCTAAGACCCACGAATGGTGCTGTAGTTGGAAGTGTGATAAACGCTGTTAACCAGACTGGTAATAAAGAAGCCGACATGGAATAGCTCAACAAATGTTGAGCCGTATGACACCTCTGAAACCTCACCTCTTATTTAGCAATGGTAAAACGAAAGGGTAAAGGTGGATTTAGCTCATGGAGCCAGAGCCAACTTATTGTGATGGAGCAGTGGCGCTTTCATTGAGCACTTTCGAAGGGCCAGAGTGGGTGAATTTCTGTGACATCAAATCCCACTCCAACTTTCAAACTGCGTGCAACACGTACGCAAAATCAGCATCAGAAATCCTTTTTAGTGATGAATGTTATATCACAAATGGTGTCTTTGACTTGGGGACCTGTCCTGCTGGGTACCTGGTTTCGCGAACGGGTAAACTCCAGTAGTACAAACGCACAGCATGCGACATTCTAACGGTTGTAACTCGTTCTAGGCACGCGATCTCTTGTCGCCTATACTTCTGTTGATCATTGAATTGCTCGAGCGGGTGTCAATAAGAGTATTCACTCGTCCCCTTAGCGCGCTAGAGTTTCCCATTGGTTTCTGCGCGCTCGAAGGACATTCTGAACGTCATACCATTTCGAAGGGTAGGCAGCACCGCGACCGCTTCCTATCAGCCCCTTCGCTCCATATTTTACTTCGCAAATGAAGCAATACGAACGTCAGGTACGGTCGTCCATCTATGGGCGGGCAGACGCGGTTGGCGTTCGTGTGGGTATGTTGTAGCTTGATGGGACCTTATAAGTGTACCTTCCTCAGAAAAAGCATAATGCAGCACCTGCTCGAGGGCGCGGAACTCCGTACTGCCAGGCGGATCAATCCCACCCGTCCTGGGGATTAATCGTGCCTTAAATGTGGAGTGCACATTTTGTTCCCTGGTTCAGGAGGACCAAAACCTGTGAAGCAAAAACAAAGTGAGAAAATGAGCAAACTTCATAAATAATCCGCCTAGCCGCGAAAATATGCGTGATAATGCGGTCGAACTTTTGTTGAACTCTCGAAGAGGACGCCAAAATGCCGAATTCACGATGATTTCGCTGAAGTTAAAAGTGTTAGCGACAGTTCTCTAAAAAATGAATTTCTAGCTAGATATTCCCTTCAGCGTGCCTTTCAAAGAAACGATCGGCGATGACCGATAAAAATAGATTGTGTGGAGGGGTAGTGTGGTTCGTGATGGACCACCTTGTACCAGTTTTGCGGCCGAAAATTGCAAGGAAATTAATTCAAAGTCTAAAGTTGCTCCAGTAATACTTCCCTTTTTCTAGTGACTCCGCCTCCGGACCCCGCCCCCAAACACAGCTAGAAGGGATGTTACCGGCTAAGCGGCATAAGATGGATGTTTCACTGTATCTTGCAGGGTCGTAGTGTTTACTATTAGGTTGTCCGGAAAGTTCTCAGCGTTTTGTGTTACTATTTTTTGTACATTCATTGCTGATTAAAAACTCACTCTCCCTTGCGTCTCAGTAGTACATCCTGAAGAGAATTTTTTGCGCTATCTGATGGTATAATTGCCGTTTCACCATTGCTTGATAAACCCCCTTTTCCCAAGACTTTTTGATGCATGTCAAAAGAGCAACTTCGGACGATATTTTTTTCAACTAAAAATTAGGTCATTCCGCACTCGAGACAGCTCGACAAATTAACCAGGTGTGGGGGCCCATAGTGTTGGAGAAAGCACCGTGCGACAATGGTTCAACAAATTTCGTTCTGGAGATTTCAGCCTTGAAGATGAACCTCATAGCGGTCGACCTAAAGCAATATCTGACGAGGATTTTTTGGAGGCTGACCCATCCCAAACAGTTCGAGAGATTGCAGAAAAGCTAGGCGTTGGCAAATCCACTGTTGCGGATGGTCTGAAACGCATTGGGAAGGTGAAAAACTCGACAAGTGGGTGCCCCACAATTTGAGTGACCGGCAGAAATTGGCACGTCTCGAGGTTTCTTCTTCACTGCTTTTGCGCAACAGAAACGACCCGTTTTTGACCGAATTGTCACCTGTGATGAAAAGTGGATCATGACGAACCACCGAGGTAATTTTCAAAGCCGAACCCTCACGAAAAAAAGATTCTGGTGGTCATCTGGTGTGATCCACTATAACTTTTTATCACCAGGCCAAACCATCACAGCAGAACCCTACTGTGAAGAAATCGACGAAATGTACCGAAAATTGCGTCAGCTGCAGCCAGCACTTGTCAACAGAAAGGGTCCGATTCTTTTGCATGACAACGCCCGCCCACACGTTTCACAAATCACTATCCATAAATTGAACGAATTGGGGGTTGAAGTTCTACCTCACCCGCCATATTCTCCAGACCTTTCACCAACCGACTATCACCTTTTCAAACATTTTCAGAACTTCCTTGCTGGAAAATACTTCATCAATTAGGCAAAAAAGCCTTCGTGGATTTCGTGGATTCTCGACCACCCAGTTTTTTCTTTGATGGGATTTCTCGACTGTGTCACATTGGCAAAAGTGTGCTGATTCGAATGGTGCTTATTTGGATTAAATCCGATGAGTATTAAGAAAGTTATGATCGTTTAAAGTGAAACACTCAAAACGCTGAGAACTTTCCGGACAACCTAATACAAGAATCAGGCGACTGCGCTTGTTCAATACGCGGTTCTTTGGCCTTACCGTTCGATTGCTTTAGGATGAAGGGAGCCTTACTTTGCCGACGTTCCTTCAGGTTACTTTCTTCTCACATAGTCACTTGACAAGTTCTGTTCTACATTTCTGCCTGCGCGCCTTATGGCGAACCGTACTTTCAAGGGTTTTCAGCACGGTAACATATGACCCCTTTGGTGGTTTCCTTCGATTGAATGAGTAAGCATCAGTCAATTTGGTGTGTTCTAACCCCTGTATATTTTCAAGTGACCTTTCCAGTAAAAGCTTTTGTAACAACCTGATTCCAAGTTCTATTCTAACTCGTAGTAACTGAAATCATCTTGACCGATGAACTCGGTCCTATTCACAAAACCTATGCCACTGCCTCCACTATGGAGAACCGAAAGAATATCCAAAGATCGAATACGAAAACTGTTTGCTGAAGTTTTCTGTAGCACAATTCTCTCTTTTAAACCACTTATCTGAGGTGAGGGTGGCGTAGTGGCAAGTGGCACATTGACCACGCGCACGGTCCTGGATTCAATTTCCGCATCGGGTTCCGCCCAAGCTAGCCAAATCTTTGCCTTCCGGGAGCCTACCACAGACTCACCTGGAGGATAGGAACACTCACATGCACATCGGCTGCACCCCGCAAGTCACTGCGTAGGCCAAATCGTAGTCAATGAGTCACGACTGTTCCGAAATGGAAAGTGGAATGCGTTTCTGCGCATCCTAAAAAGAGGCGCCAAGAACGCCTGTCTTAGGCTATCAGATCTCTTCTAACCATAAGAGCAAGCACTTTTCAGCACACGCAATTGCTCGAGTCCAGTGGGCATACAAATGCCTGTTCGTCAGGCAATTGCCATTGGCTTTCGAGTCGGTACAAATACCAGGAACCCGTATACTTATACATCCGATAAGGCGTATGGTAAGCTACTTCTATTTTGGCCTCTATTCTCTGTTCAATTGCAAGTAACTAACGGTGAACAGTTCACAGCTGCAGTAGCGTGCCGCTTTTCCTTGTAAAAAAAGTACGGGAACAAAGCTGGGGTTGGCGGTACCCGTGTGCCACATCCATGCTTCGCTCCACTGCGGATCACATTGCCCTTCCCACGCAATATTTCGCATTTTTAAAGGTCAACGCGTCATTCCTCTGAAGCACCGTAAATCTTTGCTGTCTGACGCGTTCTTATCATTAAGCTCAGGGGTACAATGACACGTTCGGAAGTTCTGGTACCACGTTCGCAACGTAGCTTTTCCTCTGCGTGGCAACTTTGGTTTCGTGACTGTGTTCGTCATGAGGGTTCTGCAGGTACGATATCAACATTCAATGTTGTTTCCATTATAAATGATTCGTTTCTATTTATGAGTTAAGGAAGAAACACCGAGGGCCGAAAAGGAAGGATACAATAAGAATTTTTTGTAATACTTTGAGCAAGGACGAGATCCGTGCTAAATGTATGTCCAATTCCACAATTGCTTGAAAAGTGAACATGAGGCTGCTTCTCATAAAATTCCCTGAAGCGCTTGCCTCGACTTTTTTTTGGCCATGCTGGGTCCCCTCGAACAGGACAGGATCGCATCAATGAAAGACGGATAAAATTTTCGCCGTTGATCAGTCCTTTTTGAGAATGTGGCATGCATTTTACTAACCGCTCAGAATCAAAGCGGCATTTGGAATGCTATGTGGGCGCACAATGATTTGGGCGTAGAGACAGTCAGCATTTTTATCCTCACGGATGAATATGGTACCAATTTACCGTTCTCGGCAGACCCCAGAGGATGGAAGCATGCTCTGAGCGGGAGCCAATCCATGATTCGGTAGGGGAACGCGCTAGTTGTGAGCGTGCTACTTGCTATACACCGCATCGCCCTTTCTAAATCGTATCTTGCACGAAAAATTGAAGACATGGTTGGCTATGAAAAATATCGTAGATTTTACCTCCGAACTGTTTGCGTGTGGGTGGACCACCCTTATCCATCCAAAACACTGTTAGTCCTGTTTCCTACTGACGCTGAGACGTTTGAGCGGCTTGGTTTGGCGCCAGGCTGTTCTTCAACAACGCGGTCGCCTGCCAGCTTTTTATAGAAGCCATTTCGGAGGCGTCTAATTCTACCCATGAGACGCCCCAACAAGACTTTCTGTGCTCGATATACCGGA